GTATATGCATGTTGATTATGTGATTCCGTGAAGAAAATAAAGTTTGTACTCTTGTGAAAGCATTCTTGAAATAAGAATTTGCAACAACTCATTTGAGTAAGTCTTCCCTTTTTTGCTTATATTTCAGAAAAAGGACAGTTCACTGAAGAGGCCAAAATAATATCCCGTCCACACGTATCTGGATCCGTTTCTATCCGCGAACATTTTGTTGCGGATACGCCTTTCGTCCACAAGTATCCGCTGAAACAGATACCGTAAGGTCTCCAGAGTGGAAATGTTTGAAAACACAACGAATCCAGATACGTGTGGAGGCACAGTAGCCAGAAAATCTTGAAAACGCAGTGTTTTCAATAAGAGGCGGTTACCGGCGGTTTACCGCCGCCTATTTCGTCTCTGACAGCCGGTTATTTTTTCGTTTACTGTAATTTTCTAGCGACATTAGATTGTGTTATTTTATTGAAAATAGTATAAAGCAAGTAACTAGGGATCCAAGGATAGTGTAAAGTTTCAAATTGAAAAAGACACGACACGGCAAGAACTGTATAAGGTCGCCGACAACCTAGTCACAGTAAGAGCAGGCATAGCCATAGGCTAAAAGTAGGCACGTTACTAAAAAATGTGGATTTGAACAACGTTTTTACGGGATAAACAATTCCTTATCACTCCCTTCGTAACTCGTTTATTAAATATTGAATTGCAAGAGCTCTTATTTGGGCATGACGACTTTCTGTTTTGTAAAGTTGATGGCTTACACTACGAAATAATCAGTTACCATGATCCTCTTAAAAAGCATACTCATGCATGTCTTTTTAAAAATGGACTTGAAGCCGTACTATTACCTACACTAATCCTATACAGATGAGTATTGTATCAAAAGTTAATATTATCACTAAAAGTAAGAGCAATATATTATTACAAAAGTTTAAGGTGGGGAGAACAAAGAAGTCCAAATCAGTCTTAAATTTATAGCAGATTTCTTTTTACTGACTAAATCTAAGAAAGGATTGAAATTTGGCTTTCACATGAAATTTTTGAACGCAGACGCCTATTTTTGAACTGCAGCCCGCTATGATGATTATTATTGAAAACACTGAAAACGATGACGTAAATCAATTAAATTTGATATTCATCCACGCTAATGACGTGTAACAGGTCCGGTATAGATTCTCGGCAGATCTATACTCTCCTTGCGACTGTATATTCCAGTATTTCCAGAATCACAGTTAAAAGAAGCTCGACTTTCACTATAGCTGTCCACACAAGGTGCTCGCTGTTATTTTCCTCTTCTAGAATTCTCTAGAATTCAACATGTTTCTTGTTTGTGTGCGCTCACACCAATTAGTATTAGACTTTCGCAAGTTTTTTTTTGTCTTTCTCATGATTAGCGACAAAACTCAAGATATTTTCGACGTATAGTAATTAGTGGATTGCTGGGTTTTGCTCGCGAATACCAAAAGGCCGAAGTCAAAATGGCCAAAAAAAACTACATTGTGGACTCATTAAACGCAACAAAATGTTTGTGGAAACAAACGAGTCAGTACGCTTACGTGTGGATTGGGCCTTTTAATTAATGGAAGGAGGATTAATGGAGACCGGGGGAGCTTTGCTTATATGTTAAAAAGGCCCTGCTTTATACGATATTAAACATGGTTATAATTAATTAAAATATAACCGGGGCATTTGAGGGACATCATTGAGTTTCTATCACTGCTTACTTTTTCTGGTCCAACATGTTTTTTGCCAATAATGCCTGTTCTTATGCCAGAATCCTGCAAGAGTTTGGGCAAGCTTTTGACGGCATCAAATGAATTAAAATGATGTACTTGGTGGTGCAAGCCATACATTCCATTTTGGTGTTGAGGTAAACCTTTAAGAAAACAAGATTAGTAATCATAGTAATTAAAAATTATTGTTTTCATTGTCAGTTTTATTTGAACAGATGGTTATAGTCTAGATCTAGAAGAATAATAGTGTGACTAACTCACAGGCATTCGTTGCGGGGGTTAGGGTGAATGTTAAGGTGTTATTAAGAGATTACGACACCAGATACCAAGTTTATTGACATCACCCCACTCTCCTGCAGAGATTTTCTAATTTCAAGCTCTGAATGTGAATGACATGGTGCTTTTGTACTAGAGTTCTGCACTCATTTTGGTAGTGTGTCATCCTCATGTTTTGCAAATGAATAATTTGTCTTTGATTTTCACCACAATCACAATCTAAGATTAACTCTAACCATATTGTGTGTGGAACATCGCGAACATGAAGATATACTAAGTTACTAACTGTACTGTAAGTGGTACACTGAGTACTAGTCTTGTAAGTTCTATAAATTTGTGTTGAAAGCATTTTGTCAAAGTCAGTTTTCACTTAATTTAAAAAATTTGCGCATATAAGAAAACTCTTGATTATCAGTCAAACACAAAATTGCAGAAAATGGTTATCCTAAAGTGCCTGGCCTAATGACTGATTGAGCACTAGCACACCCCCCCCCCCAAGTAAAATTGTCTAGACTTACATTAGACAGAATAAAATAATTATTATAATAATTTTAATTATTAATTAATATTTTATTCTGTCTAATGCAAGTCAGAAAGAAGTCACGTACCGTAAGATGTATTAGCCAGGGTACAATTATATAACTTAACCAATTAAGCATTGCGCCCCACTTTAATTATTTTATTCTGTCTAACACCAGACGATTTTACTTGTCAAGGGGAGAGTGCTGGCACTCATTGGGTTAATAGTTCAGACATTGTTTGCCAACTTTTGTCATGGTAGATTAATTCCTCCCCTAGCAACTGCCACTAATTAGCTCAGGGAAATGAGAGAGCTTGTTGCAGTAAAAGCAGCAGAGAAATTTCTGTGCAGTGGTGGAAGTCCAGTGGATAGTTGGGAACTTGGGAGGGACAAAGGGGGGAAACTCCCAACACTTTCTTAGGGTCTCTGATAGAAATCTGATTGACAAAGACATTACAAGTAGGTTGTAACAGTTTAGAATATAAAATATATTCATATATATTAGGAATATAAAATCTTGTGGGGTAAAAATGGGTAAACTTAGTTTGTTTGAAGTTTTATATCAATTTAATTAACAATCATATACATACTAGCTACAATTCAAGCCAATGGCGTAACACCTTTGAGGCACATGGGAATGGGGGTTCTCTTCAATTTAAGATGGGGGCCATTGATTCAAGCATGTTAAGGTACTCAAAATAATATTCATGAGCACATATACTGGCAGGTAAATTTACATAAAATCTGTATCAACAAAGTTATTTGAAATCTCTGCAGGTATGCAATTGCCAAACTTTCCAGTCAGGGGCACACTATACCCAAGAAGAATTTTAATTTGAACTAGACAGATACAGAGGGTGTGTACCCCTACCCTTTCTAAATTTGACAAAGCTGGGAGCAAGGGGGGGAGGCAATCAAAATATATAGGCAAAATTAGATTAGCAAGACTACAGACTAGTGCCTTGCTGCTGTAGCTCGTTCGCAATTGGTCAACGGTCGCACCCTGAACCATGACCAAAACTCAATGACCACAGCCCCCCGCCCCACACACACACACACCACACCACCCCTCCTACCAGATTTGGCTGTATGCCTATATATACCATAGATATGCTATATACCTGCACTGTACATGGTTTTGAGAGAATATAGTAATACATCTATACAAACGACAATTTTGCAGGTTGATTCTGACCTGTTAAGATGGCTGAGCGGCTAGGAGAGCAGCTACTCACAGATGTAAATGCATGATCAAAAATCACGCTTCGTTCAGCCAGTGCGTTCAGGTTTGGTGTTTGGCACACAGAGTTATTGTAAACTTGCATTTCAAATCCACCATCATCTGCAATAAATACAAGCACATTTCTTCTACCGTTGAAACTCGCCGAGCAAATGTGGATCATACAAAGTATATAAAGTGCAAAAATTGTCAACATCGATGTGAAGGAATCCATTGAAATACAGATGTTTGTTTATAATTTGGCATATTCTATTATTCTTCGAAACATAGGTACGCCAGAGTATGCCTGTTCGCGGGTTATGTAGTGCCGCGAACAGGCATTCTCGGGGAACGAGATGAACGGTCATAAAGTAAAGGGCTGGGGAAATCATATATTTGGTGTCTGCACTTTTGGTAGCCCACCCATTAATAGCTGCACGAAAATTTGTGGCCCACCCTTAAATTGGTGCTGAAAAATTATGACCCACCCTTTCAGAACGCCAAAGATACCAGCGTTCTATTTTGCTGTTGCCAAATAATTCTGTGTTACAATACTCAATAGCTATTCAAATGGTGCAATTAAAATTCAGGGCCTCTTTTAAGGATGTGTAACTGGAGAGGACATATTTAGCGGGGGACCTGGAGAAGTTCCAGTACGTTGGCATGCAAGTCTGTATCACTGCAGATACCAGCATATATATGCATGGTTTAACTAATAAGTATACGTCATAGGGCAGCAGATCAGGCTGTAACTAGGATTCCGAGACAACCAAGTCGACCACCCAAGGTGCGAGGTTCTAGAGGGGTCTGGGGGCATACCCCCAGGAAATTTTGGATTTCTTGAAGCTCAGAAAGCTGTTTCCCGCATTTTGAGAAGTTTTCCAACAAGAAATTAACCTTATAAACAGTGACACAATTACTGCAATTTCACAGTCTCCCAATGTAATCCAGTATACGTCCCAATAAGGCAACAAGTGGTGATGATGCGGTAATTAAAATGTGTGTGGTATAGTATTATCATTCACCACACTTCAAATTCTACAGTACTGTATTACATGTATTGGGGTACTTGAAATCGACGCATTCGTTTTCTCAGTGTCACTGAAGAGCAAGATAGGGTGGTCTCTTTGGAGTATCTTTGCTTGGAAAAACTAAACTACAATTTCGTCCTAAAATGCCATTTCACTATGCCTTGTTCCACGAGCAAATTATTTCAGTCATGGTTTAGGTTCAGTGGCGATGTTTAAATTTGAGTCCCCAAATTCTGGCCTACCGAGTCAACTGACTCGGTTGACTCATAGCTAGTTACAGGCCTGCAGATGATGGTCAAATTCAGAAATGTTAACAACTTAGCATCGTTTTCTCACTTTAATTCACAATTGCTGGTTGACCACCTACTGCAGGTAGTTCTTAGGGACCTCACTGGGGCAAAATTGCCGACTGGAGGGACCAGTGAGAGGGCTGGGGGGAACATGTCCTCCCCTGCTCCCCAGTCTATATGTTAAAAGAGGCCCTGGATTAAATACAGAAAGGTCTTTCTTTGCATGGAACTTCACATGCATACTGCATTATGCAATCTTTCTCATAATTAGAGACCTTTAGTTTGACATTTACAGCTAATGCCAAACCGCTAACAATGATTGTGATTTAACTACGCTCTTGTAGACATTACACTCATTTTGTTACATAATAAACATACTACACAAAGCTCGTGACATTTAGCAATAATGATTATCAGAAAATTAGTTAGCCACTATACTAACGTATTAGGTAACACATTGAATTCAGCTTTTAAGTTTGAGGTTAACGTTTGCGGTATAAATGTTACACATGGATCCTGATACGCTTTATTTCTGTTTTTATAATATGAATTTTAATACACATGCCCTTGAAAAAATTTCTTCATAATTTTACATGGCCCACCTTTATGATTGCACTTTAACTTTCGATGACCCAGCCCTTCAACCGTGCTCAATAATAGTGACCCACCCCCCACCCCTATTTTTCCAGCCTCCCCCCTCCTTTTACTTTATGACCAGTCCCTTAACAAAAACACGCGATTGTGGTTTGTTAACGTTTGCACTGAACTGCAGTTACTGCAAATACTTTTTATTTTGCAACTTCCCCCGAGGCCAAGAGTTAGTTTTCGTTGTACGTATACTACGACGTAGTATCGGATAGGTCCGTATTATATATATAAACGTTAATTTGTCGGGAAATAGAAACACATAGGCGCATTTATACAGAGCTATATCCCTATTAGAAGGGTTTACGTCATATTAGAATATCAGAAGTAGCTACCGCCTACCTAGGGGCCCGGGTCCCCCACTTTTTTTAGTTGGGGGCCTAAATGTCTTGTCCCCCACACACACACACTTTTTAACAATGGTCAATAATAAACCACAAAATTAATTGATATTATTTCAGTTATGCGTGTAGACAAAACAATTTGAGATATTTTATGACATTTTGTTACCTTTAGAACTCTGTAAATCTCCTTGTAAAGTGCAGCAAATGGCATTTCAGGGACTGTAGTTTCAGAAATTTCCGGGGGGGGGGCAGCCCCAGACCTCCTAGAATGCCATCCGTCTTCGGCGGGCGCTATGTGCCCCCCCCCCCCACTTTTAGAGCCGCTCCAACGCCTCTCCTTTTTTGTGTGTGTTGGTGTTATGTACTCAGCTGGTGAATATGCTGGTGATGTTTGTGGTTCAGGCAAACTTTTCAGCTTGCCCGGTGTGGATGCACACTCAAAGTAACACCACAAACATATTAGCGTACAAATTACAAATTATAAATGTCAAATTGTCTTTCAGAAAAAATACCGGAATTTTAGCTAGATTTAGCCTGAAAAGGACTGGCTAGCCTTGTTATGGTTCTTTTGCGAATTTTAAAGGAGTATAATTTGAATCACTTCCATGCGCATGGATTATTTTCAATCTCATAATTAACTTTTACACTTGGCTTTAAATAGCAGTCTCTTTTGAAAATGGTTTATTATTAGTCCAGCATGAGCTCCACCATTGAATTTACTATATGAGTAAATTCTTAAACACGTCCGAATTTATCATTATTCGTTTCACATTATGAAAGTTTCACATTTTGCAACATTTGTCACAACAGGTGGTAATTTTAATTTGTCTGCGCATGTGGTTCAATTTGCGCGGTTAAGATAAGAGAAAAGAGACTTGGGGCGAGTAAATATAGTAATTTGATTTTTGAGCGTTTATTGGAATTTTTGGTCTCTTTTTTCTGCTATATATCCAAAAATTGTTAATCTATTGCATTGCATTATTGGGATGGCGAGGAAGGTATGAAAATGTTCGGAGGCAAAAAATGTATAAAAATGAAACTTTTGCGTAATCTCATACATCGGAACTGCCTCGGATTCCGACGGAAATGTTCAATAATTCCTACTATATTTCGTAATTTGAGATGAACGAATTATCTTCCAGTATAAAGTATATGTTTTAAGGAGAATGCTGTTTCATGGTTAGTAATCCAAGTGAGTATATATATATACACTTTTAAGACCTGCATGACCAGGAACGACTGCGAAAAATGCAACACAAGGTCCTCTGGTAGGAAATGAACATTCGACACTCGCAGGGCCGTAGGTTCAATTCCTACCAGAGGACCTTGTGCTGCATTTTTCGCAGTCGTTCCTGGTCAGGTCTTAAAAGTATATATATATATATATATATATATATATATATATATATATATATATATATATATATATATATATATATATATATATATATATATATATATATATATATATATATATATATGAAACAGCATTCTAACAACAAGTGAAGTGCGAGTAACAAGATCATTTTATGTTTTACTGAATTAAGGAGCAGTTTAAACAATATTTGGTTTTGAACGGCTTTTGGCAAATTATAATTTAAAACTATTTTCATTTTTTATTTCATTATGCTAATCTTCACTCTCAATTACCACCCTGTAGTATTCGCATGATTTCAAAACTGCTCATATTTTCTGAATCAATAGACTCTAATATCTTTCAACGGATATGCTTTTACGAACAGGATTAGCAAACACATGCAGTTTCTAGCAGAATATTCAGAGGCACCGACTGTTACAGACTATATTAGACGGGGCATATCAAAAATATTTTGATCAGTGACTAAGAAATATTTGAAGAACGATTTAGAGTTACTCTCGTTTTGAGGCTCTCGACTAGATTTTTTACAATCTTAATTAATTAATTAAGTTGACTAAAATTTAAGCTTTTTCCTCAGTTTTACTGAGCAAAATCATTATTTTTGCACTAAGTGTTTTCAACAATTCAGTTAATAATAAATAAACTTTCGCGCCGGGGTGGGTAGTTGTCAAGTTTAAATTAGTGTCAGACTCATAAGATTAGATATTAGGGTTAGAAGTTAGAGTCCGGATTAGTTAATTAGAGATTTTCAAGATTTTCAAAAAAAAAAACTGTTTAAAAAAGTTTAAAAAAGTTTAGAAAAGTTAAAAAAGCAAAATCGGAAATTAAAATGATCGAAAAAATTATCACAGTTAGAGTTTTTTTGGAAGTGATATCTCACGTTGACTATATGTTTTTTCGAGATTTTCAAGATTTTCAAAAAAAAAGTTTAAAAAATTTTTAAAAAAGTTAGATTTTCAAAAAAGTTTAAAAAAGTTAGATTAAGGTTAGGGGTTAGGGGCTAGTGATTATAGGGGTTAGGGTTAGTAGTGTTAGTGTTAGGGGTTAGGTGCCGCGAATTTATCATATTGATAAATCAGAACGTGTTTAACAATTTACTCATATATAGTAAATTCAAAGTAGAGCTCATGCCCATATGTGTGATAGAAATTTCGCTAAATTTGACCAACGTGAACAATGCAAAATTGTGGCGGATAGCTGGTCTTCCAATCGGTCAATAATGTTGAATTGGAATTTTCACCTGTTTATCAAGTTATACTCAACGGCTTACAAATTTGAAATTTAATTTTTCCTTAACGTTGACCCTGTCTCCTCCGCAGAGGCTTTAGTTGTCTTATGATTTATCACTATGAGATACATTTCACTACACTTTACATGATGGATCTTGGAACACGACAGGAACGCTCGTGTTCCAAGATCCGCCATGTAAAGTGTTGTGAAAAGTATGTCATCGTGATATCATAAGACAACTAAAGCCTCTGCAGAGGAGAGATCGAGACGTTGACCCACGCATATAGTTTTCCGTACCTGTTTTCCGGTACCTAAATTTAACTACTGAGAGTTTAATTTCCAGGGGGGTCTGTGTTCCTGTATTCCCTTGGAAATTTTCCTTTATTTTCGAAGCCACAAATACATGTTTCTTTGTTTTTGAGTTTTCGGCTTTGTTCCCCATGTTCCCATATTGCAAAGTATATATGCCTTGTTCCTTTGTTCCCTAGTGAAAACCTCTGGGAGACTATATTCATTATATTCATTAATGTTCCGCTTCAACCAATCAACCCGAGTAAAAAGTATAGTAAAGGTTGCTCTCCAGTCACGCGTTTTTCATACGTGCGTATATACACACGGAAAAGTTTAAATCTTTTAAAATTTAACACTAGTATACTATGAATTACCTGTATAAATGCACGGCATTAAATCATTCACAAAACTATATGCTTTCCTTTTATTCATTCAGTTATTTCCCCGGCATAAGTAACATTTAACAAGATCTAAACTTTTCCGTGCGTATACGCACGTATGAAAAACGGGTGACTGATTCACTGTTTTTTGCGAGCCTTCTCAGTTCTGGGTCAAGAGGCGAAGGACAGACTGGGTATTAGTTTTAGTTCATGCCTGTTTGAAAATAATTAGTGTTTTTATGTAAGAGACCAAGCAATGATAAAACTGTTGTTCACTAGTGCCGTTGAGGGAAAAAATTTGAGTGGATTGTAGCGAAGGAACAACCCCCTTTTTCACGCTGTTTTGACCCCCTCCTGTTTATGAGCAGATGGAATTGAATTCGAAACATAAATAATTATATCTTTGATTCCAATCTACTATCTAGATGTAAATCAGTAAAACTAAAACCCTATCAGGCTATCGCTGCCGAATTGTAAAGTTCTAGTATACCACAAGTTACCACACTACCACAGACACACAGAACCATGGCGACAGTCTTTACTCTAGTATACGTACTATACACTTTTTCCATAGAAAGAGAGGGCTACAGAGTTTCTTCTATGCAGAATTTCATTCGGCTAGGTATCTTGATATTCCAAACTTTTGAATAATTTTGAGGCATATTAATTAAATATTAAAGTGACTAATTAGTAATATGAAATGTGGTTGTAAAAAGTAATTAGTTTAATCTAAATGAACGACACATTTCCTCTGCAGGCGCAAAAACCGTTTCTGTCAACAGCATTACAGTATATATAATATCCGGCCCTGATAACCTTAATACGTATAAGGAAGTTTTAATAGAAAGACTATTAAAATAGTGAAATGAGTGGAAAAAGTATATTCCATTCAAAAAAGGCTGCCCTATGCTTGCCAGGACAATGGACCAATCAGCGACGGCGTTCTATGTAATCTTGTGGAGAATCAGCCAATAACGTCATTCGGCATAAATAAATAATTTCCACTAATGGCGACATGGACTCTGTTTTGTGCTTGATGGCGCTGCTAGATTTGGTTGCTTTATTCGCCGTGATCGGAGTTTTATTTATGTATTTTGTTCATGTCGTGGCTATTATTTACGGGTAAGATTTGACAATGTTTCATTTGCTTTCGTGCACTTTTTATATCATAGTATTTCAACGTTCTTCTGAGAACAACGTTGGCCTTTGTTTATATAGAATGATTATTATGATTGATTCATTGACTTCACTTCTGTATTTTGCAGCAAAGTTAAGCTTCATAGGTGCAATTTGTCGTCCAGGGATGCCTCTCAAAATTCATGTAACTCGTGCCCTGGTGTCACTATGTTGAAGGTTTGTGCTTTTGAGCGAATTCATAATAATTCAATATAACAGTTATATTTTAGAACAAACAGTCATCATGTGTAATTTTATATAATCGTTCATGTATTTTAATAAATATGAACAACGATTTATTGGCCATGTTATACAATGCAATATTTGCTACATCATGCTGTAGAAAATGGTGATTCAGGGGTATGTGTTGTTTGTCAGATTTTCAAAACTATATTTTGTGATGTGCACTTTGAAAAGCTTGCCATGTTGCATTGGGCTATTCCATTTAAAAGACATAACCCCCCTATCGAGGACAAGGGTTTTACCATATCCCTGAAGAATTCCTGACATAAAAGAGATCCCCTGAAGAATTCCTGTTAATAGCATTTACCCCTGAAGAAATCAGCATTTACCCCTGAAGAATTTCAATTTTTACATCTGACCCCTGAGGAAATCTCATTCAAAATAACCAACCCCTGAAGATTCCACAGGAGAATTTGTTTACCCATGAGGAATTCCAGGGTTAAAAATTACCTTACTCCTGAAGAATTCCAAGGTCCTCGATAGGGGGATTACGGATATTAAATGGAATAGCCCATTCAGAATTTTGTTGTTGTTTTCTACTTTCTTTCTGTCACTGCCACAATTTGGAAAAAACGTGTGTCGCATGTTGTATTTTCTTTCTGATTCAGGGCACGAAATAACGGCCGATCAATGATCAGTCATCGGCAGGAAATTGCTTTTGATCGGTAGAGAAGCAAGGTTGCCGATCATCTTAACCGGCAAGGACCATTGTCTTAAAAACATGGTTAATGTTGTTAACGAACACCATGCAATAATACCACATTATCACAGAATATATAAACATAATTAACATATCCTATACTGATAAGCCAGATTTTCATTTGAGCAGCAGAAAATCATGACTGCTGATCACCATGATCGGGAACGTTGGAAAAGTTATTTCGAGCCCTGTGAATTTACCCTAACAGGAGCTGCCTAGAAAGTACTTGTAAAAAACTGTACTCATCTGGTATGTTGTTAATCCATTGAACCAGTGTGCCAGCACTCTCCCCTCGATGAGTAAAATCGTCTCACGTTGAACAGAGTAAAACAATAAAGTAGGGCATATTAGGGGGCCCTACATGGTTAGCATTTATTCCTGCTGATATTTCTCATTCATTTCATTGTTTCCTCTTTGATATGTTAAGTAAGGATTTCAATGTCAGCATAGTTATACATGGCCATGATCGCAATTTCTCTGCAAATATGTGTGGAGCATTGCAGTTTCTGAAATTATTTTAATTGCAAGGTGCAGCCTTGAAAACTGGCTTCTTTTGCCAAGGCAAGTCAGAACATTCTCAATATGCCTCTGCAATTGCTGAGTGCCAAGGCAATTTATGAAAGCTGTATAATCTGAACATCTAGAACTGTCTGTGCCAATGTCGGTAGTGCCAATAATAACAAGCTTTCATCGATAGGGATGCAACTACCTGAAAAATATAGGAGAATTTCGACCTTCCTTATATTTTCCAGGTAGTTGCATTCCCTACCGACAAAAGCTTGTTAATATAATATGTTAACCCATTATAGCTGCAATGTGCACAACAGATGATTTTACATGTCAAGGGGAGAGTCTTGGCACATTAATGGTTACCCAATGATTAAGCTGCAATTAATGATTCCAAATCTGCCTGACTTAATGATTTACTTTGTTTTAATGACAGATTGTTTTACTCTGTCTAAGGGGCTGATTACATGGACCGGGCCAGCTTGGTTAACCGGGCTGGAAAATGTCACGAAAATCTTCCTTGGGCCGCAAAATGAGTTTTAAATCGGGTTTAGGATGATTTTGCATCTATACTAAACCAATTATTTATCGCAAATTTATTTTACGCGAGTTTTAAAACCACAGTAAGGTCCTAAACAAACGAGTCAGCCCGGTTAACCGGGCCAGCTCGGCACCATGTAATCAGCACCTAAAACTGGATGATTTCACTTGACATTTGTACTCTAAACAGGGAAAAATAAAAAAGTACAAGGGAAAATTTTGGTTTGAAAAGACTAGGTACAATTTTTCATCCTCATGGGTTTGTGAATAAGTACATCACATATTATTTTACTAATTTCCAAATTGCCAGATTTTTGCCCACATTATGTTTCTCTCTTCATTTTTTGGCATTAATCGCTTACAGCAATGTTCCTGTCATAAATAATTACAATTTAATAATGTTTAACATTATTATATATACATTGCGTATTTACATTTATATATGATCAAATACTATTAGGCATTACAACTAGGCATTACATAAATAAACTAGTCTAAAAACTAAAGTACCGTAATAAAAACTAAGTAGGTAATTTGAAAATACTAATGAAATAAAAAATATAGAATACGTAATTCGAAAATTATGTTAATAAAAAGCGTTCTTAAAAAACATGTTTCTTCACCAACACTTTGAAAAAGCACGATCACCTAGAGTTTTTTTTAAATTTGTAATTCTGATTATTAATTGGTTGCAGTAGGATTTCAGAATTTGATCGCAGGCTATATTCAGATGTTTCTTTTAGGTAATTAGCTAATATACTGTTGTGCACCACCATAGGTTGATTATATGTAAGGATTAAAATCAATTCTGAATTGAATTGCTAGCCAATATGCAAACTTCATCATTCTTAATTCAACTAAGTTTTAAAGTTTTAATGCGCTCATTTTGCGCACATTTTAAATTTGACTTCCTAACTTCTGCAGCCATGTTTTTAAAATAGTTAAAAGAAAACACTAAGAGAAAGCATTATTTGAAAAATCTGATATGGGGGTCAAATCATAGAGATTATAAATAACACTAGAGGAGGCATCGAGTTTAAAAATTGGGAACGCAGCTAATGGGGGGCAAATTCAAGTCCTGGATATAAAATCGTGCTCTCATTGGCTGATTTGAAACTCGTCACCAATGGGAACACGAATACACATCCGGGACTTGAATTTGCCCCCCAATAGTCGCGTTCCCTTTTTTTTACTGAATTAAGATTACAATGCCTCCTCTAGTGTTATTTATAATCTCTATGGGTCAAATACAGTATCTGCCATACTGAAACATATCGCCATAGCAACGGAAGTTACGTAATTTGTGGAGGAAAAAATTACACCTCTTAGATATTGTTTTATAATAATTTAAAGTCATTTGTACATTCTCTATTTTTTCAACAAGACTTGGTTATAATTGCCAAAAAAATACGGAATCATTTTTGAATGACACTGCAGTAATTATTTATACTGCGCAGTTGCAGCGTATTACTGATGTATAAACTGTGAAACCAACAACTGGTTATACTGGGTTGTGTTTGCTTCTTACATTGCATGAATATAATTTAAATAGCTGTATTGTAAATTGTTTTAATTTTTGCTTTCCACTTTTGCATTCATGGTTTCAAAACAGTTTGGGTCTCAAAATAAAACCAAATACGTCATGATCACTTACAGAACACATTTGTAGTCTTGTCTTGAAAAATCAATGTTTGTTTGTTTTCTTGTTTTTAAATATTTATCACTAGCTCAGGATTAGTTTATTATCCCCGAGCCAACGGCGCGGAGCGCCGTTCCGGGCGTTAGCCCGCGGCGAGGGTACTAATTCCGCCCGGCTATTTACACCCGGGGAAAGGAACGCACTAGCGAAGTCTAAAGTTCATCAAATACCGTGGGTGCATGGCTATGATCCAAGGGTGGACCTCCTCACTGAACTAAAAAATATGGCTGTTTGCCAGGAGTGGGATAAGCACACTGAGTTTATTAAAGCAAGATTTCAATTTTCAAAAGCATATATTTGGAAAATCACGTTTCACACAATGAGCTTCGAAGTAATTTTTGTTTGAAAAAATGAGAAGAATTGATTTACTATGAAAATTCGTGAAATATAGGGCAAGTGTTGCTTTAATATAGGGCAAGTGTTGCTTTAATAATTTATTGCGTAAAACATGCACTGCTGTTTTCCTTTTCAAAGAAGCTGTAAGTTTCATAAATTACCCAGTTTAATTTAAGAAAAAAAGGTAATTGTAAAGGAGGGCAAATTAATTTGAAGACCTATAAAATGAAATTATTCAACAATTTGAAGTAAAAACAGTTTATCGGCAAAAGCAGTTTAGTTATTAAAATGAACATTTCAAAACATTTTACGAAGCAATTCAGGTTAAATTTTACAGTAAATCAAAGCTCACAAAATCCAGAACAACATACCTACAGTACATATTTCGGAAAGTCATTGTTATATAGTTAAAATAAAAGCAATAATCTTTCGACTATTTTTGCCGTGTTGTACAAACGTATAATAAAAATTAAAATTATCTTTTCGTGTTGCCATAGCAACACCACAGAGTAGAGCCATACAGAGACGTAACTAGTGTACCCACTTTTTCTGTGCGTATGCTCGGCAAGTTACTAGATGCATGCATCTGATTGGATGACGACCTGATGACGACTCACTTTAAATTTGCTGAGCACGCGCAGTTGATCATTTTTCGCCCGGTCGCCTGAAAAAAAGTGGGTACATGATAACGTAATCTTCCGCAGTGTTTACAACGGTCAGTTACGTCTCTGTATGTCTTATCTACTCTGTGGCAACACTGACGTAACGCGAGCCTGCGTTCAGTCCGTGTTGATCAATTACTAATACATCATGTTAAATCAATGTTTGGAAAATATGGGTGAGGGGTTGCTGCATACATGTATTTCTAGTTATTATTTAATAGCAATTTTCAACTTGCATTGAAAGCAAAGTTTATCGCAGGTCAGATAATTAACAATTATTGAATGAGATTGATCATGATATGCAGAATTATCAAATGATAATTCTTCATACTGTACGTGGCGAAAACTAATTTCAATAATTGTTTTATTAATAATATTTATTATTTAATTTAAAAAATGAAAAAGACATGCATCCACACCTTCGTCGAAATAACGACAAGTTCTTTCCTTTTTTCTTTCATAAGTACCGTTAAGATGTTTCAAAATCGTTCGTGGCTGGTTTCGTTGATATTTCTTGATTATATTGTAATAGTTGTTTCCTTTAAACCTGTAAACACGGCCGAAGGCGGCGCTATATTGTTTTGGTCAGTTTCCACATATTTCCACATTTCGTCATAACGTTGAAAACGATTTTTTCATAATATTCAACGTTATGACGTCACTCCGTTGAATATTATGTCAAAACTCCATATTTGGTCAGCTACATTATGGAGTTGATATGACGATTTCACAGTTGGCTGTGAACAGCCAATCGAAAACCATGATTGAATTTTTTAAATAAATAATACGATATCTGTAGCTTACAACCAGTCACAGTACTACAGTGCGATGCCCTGGAGCAAGCGCGAAGGCAAATACCAGGGCTTACAGTATGATTACAAACTAACCGACTAACAGACTATTGTATTTTTAGAAGTAATGCTTATACAGTTCCGGTACTTAGAATCTTTGCATTACTTTGTCAGCCTCTTGTAGGTGAAGATGAAAATCTGTACATGAATTTGAAAAGTTGTTTCGATCTTAAATATCAGAAGGTATGCAAAATATTCTTTGGCTTATATTTCCCAATTTTTTAGTGCATTTCTTCCTTGCATGCAACAATCATTTCATTTGTACATGCTATAATGTCCGCTCACCCCTGCATGAGGACGTATCAACAGTTGGACGGATCTATCCAAATGAATGTTGATCCACGAGTATCCCACAAAGTTCGATGTATTACAAATTGCGTGACGTAACCACTTCTAAGGTATATTGCGTATGTGTACGTACGTACAACAAGTGTTATATGACAAGTTTTTGTTTTCCTGGCCGCCACGATAGCTTCATGTACAGTAATTACAACAATTAATCGCAGACCAACCGCTTTCAAGTACTCAAATTATTTTGCCAAATTTTCTTTCTTAATCCAGACAGACGAACGAAATTTATACTTTTCCAATCTATGACACGAGCAATAAATAAATGTTAGCAGTAGCATGCTAGCTAGCTTTTAAACAAGTGTACATAGATATACTTGTCATAGAAAATCTTGGCAAAGTTGCCCATTATGAGTTGAAAATTATGTGGTGTTTCATTGTGCCCTATTTTTAGTTGCAAATTTTGTTTTGCGTGCAAGACGAAAACGATCCAGCCTCTCGAACTGTCAAGAAACTCATGGACGACTATCCCGAAGCGGATGTTCAACTCCTAACATGTACGTTAAAATGGTTAAATGTCATATTCCAACTGTTGTTATTTTACTTATACTACCAGTCTCTTTACTTTGGACTGGTTCTCTTCGGAGCCTGTTGTACCTTTCACCATCGGTCTTTATGGCCCTTGGTTGACTTTGGCAGTACGCATGCGTACTGTTTTGTTCTGACCAGTAGGAGGACGTGGACGACCTCCTGAATGTTTTCCCTGCTGTCCATTGCGCTGTCCTCCTGGGACTGGGTTCAGTAGGTGCTATAAACAAAAACCTACCGTCACCTGTAAACGTTTTTCCACATTTGTTTACGTTTCAAACGTATATGCGTTGCCGTTACTTTTATACACGTTTGTAGATCCCGCTCGTATTGTTTTATAAGCGACATATAGCATTATTCTTTTACTGATTTTACATTGAATATTATGTGATGTCTTTACAAGTGAGAGATATATACCCGCGTATAGTTTCGGTAGTCAAAACTTGCTTTATTTGATTAAAAACCGCCCTTTTTAACTTTTAAAACAATATGGCCCATAGAAACGTCCACGGAAATTTACGACAGTGCAAATCAAGTGGGACTTTAAGCACATGCAGTAGCACTTTTCAAGTTTGATGGCTTGTACTATGTGGGCGATGTGCAGAAATTGAAATATATATGAACATAGGCAAATAAAAGACATTGATTATATCGGAATCAAACAGTACTGAACTGTAGATTAATATTATTTATTCTGTCTTTGCAACCGTGCAAATGACTAAATATACAGGACTTTTTAACATAGTGATTGCTCTATTTCACTGTAGAATGTCTTCCTTACAGTACCATGTACATTTTTACGTAGGTGCGACAACTGGTGGGGTGAATCCTAAAATAAATAACATGTTGCAGGGTTACAAAGTGGCCAAATACGATCTAATATGGATTAATGATAGCGCATTATTTGGTAAGTTACCAGAAAGACAGAAGACTACTCAAATCGTCTTACGTACGAAATTATGACAACTTTGATTAACCTTTCTCCGCGGGGGTTGAAATGACCGGACACCAGACGATCTCTGATCGTAATACTTTTATTACAACAAGCTTTGTAACTGTAGCCTTCACCAGCTGGTAAGATTACAGTCAGGTAGTTGGAAGATTTTTGTAATAAAATATTACGATCAAAGAACGTCGGACCCATAAATATGTATCCCGATCGCGCATCCTCCATACATTGCATTATTTGAAACTATTCTCATTTGGCGAATAACTCGTATACAATGTGTTCCTTTTAACAAATGCCTTCTATGCAAGCTTGTGAGTCTATTTGTTAACTTGTTACATGCGTTTGACCCTGATAATTTACACCAAAACTAAGTTGAACCTATCTGTGATGACGACATTTCCTTTTTGAATTGTAGTACATCCTAATACACTGTCACAGATGGTATCTGATATGACTGCTAATGTTGGAATAGCTCACCAGGTGAGGAATCCGTAAATGGAAAATGTTAAACAGACCCAATAACTTTGCAGCCAAAGCCAGGGCTGCTGAGAGGGGGGGGGGGGGCATTTCCCCCCAGACTAAATGTTAGCTGAATCAGTGCCGGATAATATGCACTGTAAAAGTGTAATATACTGTACAACACCGCTTCTACAATTATGACATCATAGGCCGCCATTAGAATATTCATAGGGCCCCCTGGGAATGTTTTACCCTGGGCCCAGCACAACCTCTCGACGACCATGGCCAAAGCTAAAGCCCCGTTTACACGAGCAAATTTTATTTGACAAATTTCATTTGATCAAATGCATTTGATCAAAAGCTAGCATGCTAGCTTTTGTTCAAATGCATTTGTCACAATAAATTTGTCACAAATTTATCATCTACACGAGCAAAATATCTTTGACATATGAAATTTGTCAAATAAAATTTGCTCGTGTAAACGGGGCTTAACACAAAGAAGAAATGGAAATAAGCATTTTAGATACAAAGCCAGGAAAATTTGATATTGCACATTCTATTGCCAAATTTATTGTCAGTAGAGAATAGTATCAAGCGATTCTCCACATTGAAGCGTTTGATATCTCTGATTGTTCAAAATCTGCGGCAGTAACGTACATTTTTCACCATTAATATGTTGTTTTGTAAGTCAGGTGTACTCTTCGTTTTGCGACACTGTACCTAATTAATTGTACAATATTTTATAAACTTTAGTCTTGTATTTTAAAAAAACAGTGGGAAGCAACCTTAAATTAATTTAATGCCCAATATTAATAAGCAACATGACAGTACAAGAAATTGTATTTACGCCATATTTATGAGTAGTTATGTTTATGTTATTCCACAATGAATTCAAATACATGTGCTTTCATTCTCTAACAGCGATTTACCGTGCGTGTTTTAAAGATAGCGCATGCCTTTTTCAACAGGTGCCGTTTTTGATGAACAAATCATCTTTTTCTGGAGTACTACAAAAGGTTAGTTGCATGAACGAAGCCGCCTATCTTTCTATTCAGTTTCATGCTACAATTGTCTCTGTTCAGTGAGTAACAGTGCAGAATGAGGATAATTTTTAAAAAAGCATTTCCAAGAAACACTTTTGAAAATAATACGATTATAATTGGTGCTTAGAGCTATGCATTTGTATATTAATTTGATTCTATCTTACATCTGTATCTCTTGAGTAAACGTGCATGCATCAGACATAAAATGTGGCCTTATTTCTGCATAGGTTTATTTTGGTACTCAACATGCTCGTGTGTATCTGTTCGCCAATGCCCTTGGTTTTTCATGTACGAATGGAATGTCCATGTTGTTGAGAAAGCATGTATTAGATGAAGTAGGTACGCGGTATTAAATCTGTTACAAATTTCTTACTATTCACATCAATGCCTGTAATACGTGTACTTTGTTACCGCACGTGGCTGGTCGACTACATGTATAGAAGCCACCGAGTTTTGGTGCAGAGAGTTTCTAGTTTTATTTGTGCCAAAAATGCTGTAGTATCACCGAAATAATTTGAATTTCTAGGCGGACTTCAGGAATTTTCTTCCTACATTGCCGAGGATTTCTTTATAAGTAAATCATTCGCCGATAGGTGAAGTATTTTATTGTTTTTCTTGTTAAGTTTGATATAAATCACATTGTACATGCATTCTTAGATTATTAATTGTTAATAATGGTAATTGAACTCTTGATGTTAAAAGACTGTAGAATGGTAACATAAATTATGTTATAAGTCAAATTGAAAGTATTTTCCTTGTACAGAGGTTGGAAAATAGCGCTTAGTAGTCTACCGGCGATGCAAAATCCTTCAAAGATTGATTTGTCGTCTTTCTTCACAAGGATGGTAAGGTATGTAAAAAATTAAACTATATGCTTTTTGTGAAACGACAGTTAACTGAGTACAACTGTTTGACATTTTTAAACTTCGTATTGTTGGGATGTTCATCTATTTTCATGATTCTTCTTTCAAATTATGCTGGGTTTTGGTAAGAATAGTTCGTTGCTATGGCAACACACGCGTACGAAATTCACTCTGAAATAGCCCATTGCTTCGAATAGTTGGAAAAGAAATGCAAAATTGAACATATTACATACAGTGGGTGACCGGACGAAATAAAAATCAGATATAAATAAATAATCAGATATATTTTTAAGAATTGGATTTTTACACGCACAGTGGCGCGTGAACAACTTGGAATTCTTTATTTCCTATTCCCACGGAAACGAATGATCACGCGGGTTTGTTCATATACACACGTACAAATCTCACAACTTGTCAACAAGATGTGTTCGCAACAGGCTTGTAACAAGCTTGTCAACAAGTTGTAATAATGCTGTTATTTTATCAAGTTACTACAAGGTTGTCACTCACAACTTGTTGACAAATTGTTGAATTGCAGGACGATAACAAGTTGTTGGAACAACTTGCAACAAGTCTACGTGTTGAGCTCAACAACCTTGTAGCAAGTTGTCAACAAGCCGTTGGCAACTTGTCAACAAGCTGGGAACAAGCAGTGCGAACACATCTTGTTGACAAGTTGTTGTCAAACAGCATTGCTACAAGTCTGCTGCAGGTTTGCTACAACTTGTGCGTTTTTACGTGTGTAGCATAAAGCTTTGTCTTTATTACGTATCACGTGGATATCACGTATCACGCGGGTTTGTTCATATAGCATAAAATTTTGGCCGTATTACGGGGTGGCCGTATTAACGGGGTATCTGTATAAGGAAATATATTGTCTTGGCGTTTTTCGGGGACGAAAATGAGTGGCCGTAATAAAGAGGTGACCAAAAATAATACTGATACCCGTCGAGGAAACACCGCGGTTTCGGCTTTCAAAATTTCATGAGATTTTTAAGCAAGCTGCCCACTGCGATGGGAGCGCGGGCTCTGCAGCGTGCAATAATACTTTTTTGGATCGAACCTCTGTCCAAAAATATATTATTGCATGCTGATTACGTCGACAGCTGAAATAACGTGACAGCTACCGGATGTTAAGACTGATTAGCTGGGAATTGTTGACCAATCGGGAACGAACATCAAGTTTGAATGTACAACTAGCACAACTTAATGTGTTTTCTAATTCAGGTGGACGCGATTACGAATCACAATGATGCCAGTAATTGGAGTTCTTGAACCATTGACGGAATGTGTTGCAATAGGATTATTGGGCTGCTGTGGGGCTTATTATTTATGGGGCTTTAATATATGGAAGGTTTTACTTGGCCATTGTTTGTTTTGGTTTGTCGCGGATCAACTGTTGTTACATATTATGCAGGGGGTAAGGGTTGTTATATTATGATATGTGTTGGTTGTGTACATTCTATCTAGGATTAAGATTATAGGATTTAAATTATTAGGATAAGGATTAGGTTAGGATTTAGTCTTGACTTATGGGGAATAAGGGTTACAATAGGTTTAAGATTATTACCAAAACCGCGGGTGCTTTCTCTCGCCTGAAGTGTCAAAACATTCAGGAATGTGACTATATTCTTACGCCTGTTCTGCTGAAATTGTCAAACTATTATTAGCCATTTTAACAGATATCGCCATCCCCACGATGTCGATTTCACGACGTTAAAAATGAATTTAGTTGCATTCCTGAATGTTTTGACGTGAAAATATGACACGTTTTTTCAAGCGAAAAAAGCATCCGTAGTTTTGATAATAGGATTGCAAGGATAAGGAATCGTTCAAGTAAGGGGCAAGAAATTTTTGTATTTATGAATTATGTGTGGAATATTTAACAATTATTGAATTGGATACTGATATTGAAGAGCACACTCCCTATCAGGGTTTTTTTTCGGAACTGGCGTGAAGCAGACCGTGAGCTTACAAATGGCACTTTAAGCAGCAGCTATTAGTCCATACCTCATTAATGATCTGCCCCCTGCCCTATATGTTTAACCCACCCTGCCAACTTTCCCCGCGGGAGGGTATCGGCAGAGCGTTGACTTTTACTCTTCTCACACGAGGACTGGGCCGAGTCACACTGGGAAAGTTCCCCACCGAGAATCGAACTCGGGACCTGGGGGGTGAAATGCAGGTGCTCTAACCGCCACCGAAGCCCCTTAGATTGAGCATGATATGAAGAATTATCAAACCAGAAGTTTTATCAAACAAAGCCGAAAGATAGGTTCATAACACAAACTGACGATTTAATAATTCTTCATGTCTGGCTAAAACCGAATTCAAAATTGTTCAAAAAGACGTCCGCACATGTCAGTGGCTTCAATAGGTCAAGATAATGACTATAGTTCTGTTTCCCCAACTCCTTTCTTTTTTCTTTCATAAGTACCTTTAGATGTTTCAAAACCTTTCGTGGCTGTTTTTTATATTTCTTGATTATATTATAAATTAAAGTTGTTTCCTTTAAACCTGCAATTTGCTGCAAACACGGCCGAAGGCAGCGCCATCTTGTTTTGGACGTGTTTCCACATTTCGTATTCGTATTTCCATTACATGACGTCATAACGTTGAATATAACTTTTGCATATTCAAAGTTATGACGCCGCGAACGTCATTGAGTTGATGTGACGAGATTTCACAGTTGGCTGTTAGCCAATCAGCAACCACGAATCTTTTTAATAAATAATGAGTGACTTATAGTTGATTTTTATTGCGCTTTTTTCCAGCCTGTTCCTATGCCGCCATTTTACGAGTTAATTGTTGCATGGTTACTACGGGAGACGTGGACGTACTTCATATTCCTTCGAGGACTTTGTGGTCGAGAAATCACGTGGAAAAACGGCGCGTTCAGAATACAGACTGGCGGGAAAGCATATCGTATACAGGGCATGAAAGTTGAAGATGATGAACACTGCCTGTGAAATTACCATCAGGGCGTACATCTTTTAATTCTATTTATAAGTGAGTTTCATTAAGTGTTATCATGCAGCAGATGGTGTCAACCAATCCACAGTTATCAGAGGAAGAAAATGTTGTTATTTTTTTCATTAAATGTTGTAAGCTGTATATGTTGACAAAGAAAAAGAACTGAGAGATGATTAAATCTAAAGTTAACACTTTTGAAGTTCGCCACCGTCTGCTGACCCGTAACGCTTGCTGAAACTCGCCAACAGAGATACATTTATACATAATCATATAAATGTATTTATTTTTAAGATCTATAAGAGACGAATGTAAAACTATATGAGACTGAGAGTTTTAACCAAACAAATTATAGATTATCTACAGTAACAAAAATGGGTGCGTTGAAGTTTAATTTAATTCCCCTCGACTCCCCATGCAGACGAAGCCATTTCAACCGGAAAATTTGATCGGTCTTGTTGCTATTACACATAAGTCATAACACCAATTTTTCTCTGGACTACACTCGCTCCTTAATTGCGAAGTAGCCAGTTTTTTTCAAGCAATGTTATAGCCAGCAATGTTACAGTGGTCTGGGCGAGGAAGCAGATAAGGGGCGGACCATTAGGCCCGGTTTAGACGCCGTGCTTTTCATGAGCCGAACTTAATTCATATTTTACTCGAGTAAAATAAGCCAAAATGTCTAAGTTTGATTTAGACAGGCGTGCTTTTCATGAGCTGTATTTAATGAACCATTTGCATTATAGACTAAATTTTGGTCTAGACAAAAATTTCACAGCTTGAAAGAGCATCACAAAATTAGTAATATTCCAAAGTTTCGTTGTGAAATGTTGTAAAGTGCGGATAATGTAGCCTTGCGAAATTTGCAATTTTCAGTCATTTTGTATTACAAACAGGAAATTGATGCCCCAACACCCGATTGGGCTGTCAATTTCCCGTGCGTATAATACAAAATGACTGAAAAACGGCAAACTTCGCAAGGCTATATTATCCGCATTTTACAACAATTCGCAACGAAACTTTGGAAAGAGTACTAATTTTGTGATGCTCTTTCAAGCTGTGATGAAATTTTTGTCTAGATCAAAATTTAGTCCATAATGCAAATGGTCCACTGATTAGCGCTCTTTCGCTTCGAATACTGGGCGAGTGACATGTCATAACAAGAAAAATGGCGCGAAAATTGATTTGTTATCTCACATTTATGTCTTGGCATTTCTGAGCATTTGTTTGTGGTTAAATTTAGCGACTTAATCAGCTTTTTTAAAAGCTAATACAAACAAAACATGTTGCCTGGACGGAAAAGGGAAACACGGGTTAATTTCCTAAGAAAACTACTAGCAAAAAACAAAAGACGGAGAACAAATAACGAATACATTCATACTTTGTTTCTCTTTTCGCTCTTTTAGTAGCCACATGAACACGTCAAGAGTTATATAGTAGCCACATGAACTCTGCAGGCATCTTGGGTTTTTTGCCTGCAAGAAATTCTGCCCGAAAATTTAAAGGCGATGCTTGCAGAGGAGGCTAATTAAATTCTACATGTCCAATGACTCATTCAAGTGTTATTATTGTTATATGATATTGAATTTTCTGTGTTGGTGTTAATATGTACTCAGGTGAATATATGATGTTTGTGATGTTACTCTAAGTGTATATATCCACACCGGGCAAGCTTGAAAAATATGCCTGACGAACTATCACATACTCGAACCGACCTGACCGCATACAGTAGCTCAGTTGGCAGAGCATTTGGCTAGTATTCCAAAGGTCATAGGTTCGATTCCCACCGTGGTCAGGCATATTTTTCAAGCTTGCCCGGTGTGGATATACACTCAGAGTAACATCACAAACATCATTCACCTGAGTACATTACACCAACACAGAAAATTCATGACTATTAGATTGCATTGATATCGAACAAACTAGACTCAGTTCCGAAATATCACATACTCGAACTGACCTAACCGCGTAGCTCAGTTGGCAGAGCATTGGGCTAGTATGCCAAAGGTCATAGGTTCGATTCCCACCGTGGCCAGGCATATTTTTCAAGCTTGCCCGGTGTGGATATACACTCGGAGTAACATCACAAACATCATATATGATATTGTACAGTATTCAGTGGCAAGCTAGCCATGAACAGTGTCCTCTGAAACAGACATATTAATTAAACAAAAATGTCAACAAATAGATTTTGTCTCCCCATGAGCAGATTGTTCAGTTGTTCTGTGAACATTGTGTAACTGAGGTGTTTTGGTATTCAAAATGAACAGGCATCTTAGGGGCTGAACAGGCATCTTAGGGGCTGTTTACATGATGGAAAGTGGGATGATTTTGATGTATTTCAATCACTAGGTTAAATGAAAGTTCAAATGCTGGTTAACAGAACTCAAATGTTGTCAGTTGTAGACCATGACTTATTTCAATACAACGAAATCGTCCCGCCTCATATCTCGTCCTGGCAAAGCGGGATCCTATAAACAGCCCCTTATTCAGCAAATTGCGCATGCTGCCTTTGATCCCTTGGGGATGAATATAATATTAAGTGCGTGCTTAATTGATTTAGACGCCGTGCTTCTTATGTGCTTAATTCATTGTATTAAGTTCGGCTCATGAAAAGTACGGCGTCTAAACCGGGCCTAAGAAAAGTGTGGGGGAAGGGAAATTTTTTAGCTTGCACGAATTTTTTTCGGCCGTCTGCTTGTGCTGGGATTTTTTGGCGGAATTTTAAAGTTATTTTTCCTTTGCTTTTTCCCTGTGCACGAATATTTTTTCTTTTTTAGCGCGAATTTTCTTTTGTCCCCGCCCCCCGTCACGTTTGTAATGCCCCCCCCCCCCGCTCTAATACTTGTTGGCCAGATATTTTCTTTAGTAACTATATGACCTTAGTGTTAGAGAAGCTGGAGCGATAATTGATAATTGAAAAAATGATAATTGGATGCATATTGATAATCAACATAATTTTTCGAAACTTTGCAAAAGTTTGTCCGAACTGTTCAGACTAAAAGAAGTCAATATGCTTGGGTACCTACACTATTGTTATGTCGAAGACAGACGATCGAGAGTGAGGGATTGTGGGAGAAAGGATTTCACAATTCCATCAAATAATATCCCTTGAAATTGGGGAGGGGGCGGGTGAAAAGCTAGGTCTATTAAAGATAATATAACTCTCTGCATTTGTCCATATAGTCCCCCAAAAAGGAACATTAAAAACTTTGTTTATATTAAAGGTTATTCGGTTACAAGTGACATCACAGCAGTTTCGACAACATCGACTATAGCAGAAAACTGAGAAAAGGTATATTACGAAAAAGACGCCATACACTTATTCTTAGGCAGACTGCATGAAGTTGAATATCATTTGGTGCAAACAGCACAGGTCAGTTCATTGCCATCGGCATATGGTGGACAAGGAAGTGAACCACAGGCGCTTTCGACAAAATGAAGTAGGGCGCCATTCACATTACCCTGAGACCCAGTTGTAGCCTCAGCGTTGCCGTCGACACAGATAAACTGTGTCCTTCCTTTGTGACCCTGATATGCTGACATGAGATATCCATTATACTCCAAGGTCCAACCTGAGGGACACACATTACGAGCTGGTATCATCAGGTGACTACCACGTGACTCGGTGTAGCAGACCGCGCAAGGTGCATCATGGTTACCAAGCTTTTTAGGAAATATGTTGCTGTGACTGCCTATCTCGTACTCGGTACCGTGTATATAACTGTATCCTTGAACGCCGGATGTGATTGTGTCGAATATTGGATCCAATGGTAGACAGAGATAGTTTGAACCACCACCAGAATGAGCAAACCATTCTCCACCCATCACTCCTTAACATCGTTAATACAATTTTATTTAAAACATCGTGGATACATGTACAACTTTATTGAAAATCTAATCTCGCATATATCAGATAATATTAAGGGTAAATATAAAGGCAATGAAACAAACATACGTTATTGCAATGGCGGTACCTACTCAGTTTTCTTTGAGTAAATTTACCTGTGCCAAACTTGTCAATATTTAACAATTATTCGCCGAAGGCGAGGTGATTATCGGTGAATAAAAACCGAGACGAAGTCGAGGTTTTTATTCACGATAATCACCGAGCCTGAGGTGAATAATTGTTTTAGTATAATTTCATAGGTGATTATGTAGAAAAACATAAAAAATACACATTTCTTCGTCATTTAATTGACAAAACGGCTTCGGCCGCCATTTTGAAAATCGCTTAGGTGATTATCGCGTAATAATCACCTCAACAGCAACCAATCAGCGTGGAGAATTTTGAATAATCACCTATGTAATTATACTAATGCGTGTTAAGCAAATAATGTATTATTGTCAGCCAAAACTACACTCCCTGAAAGTTGTTTTCTCTATTAAATATTGACAAGTTGCTTTTCATATAATTGCCAAATGCCAATCAGTGTGCACACAATCTGCCTTGATAAGCTAATTAAAAGGTATTTGAAAGTTATTGTGTATCCTGTGCAGTGCTGCCGAGAGGGGTGGGAGACAGGAGCACCTACCCCGGGTCCCCAGCTCAAAAGGTTCCCCAAAGCGACAAAGTCCCTAACTTTTATTAATAAAAGATTGCTTAATCGAGAATATAAATTCTAGCCGGATAATATGTAATGCAATATATTTTAAAACATCACTTCAGTGGTTAGCACTTTTTTCCATCCAGCAAATTAAACCGCCCTATCGATTTTCTAAATTAAAGCCGTTTTTTTATTTTTTTTATTAATTTGGTTTGGGTTAGAGTTAGGGTTAGGGGTTAGAGTAGGGGTAGGGTTTGGGTTAGTTTCATAACCATTTAACACCTCTTTTATCTTCCAAAAATGACGTCAGGTCAGTTTGCTGGATGGAAAATAGTTTTAACCCACTTCAGTCCTGTTTTACAATTATGACGTCATAGGGGGCCCTGGGAAAATTTTGTCCCTGATCCTATATGTATTTAGATTTAGAAACAATATATCATCTCTTTTACAGTACTTGAAAACCAATTACCTGAATACAACGTCATTGTTTCGGCAGATTTTGGACAGTCACTTCTTCCCCAGCGTGTGTACACAGTACCCCCTGAGTCTCCTTTTGCCCCTGGTGTACCTCTTGATCCAGGTTCGCCACGCTGTCCTGGTGGACCTAAGCAAGTAAAATATATTCATAAGGTATATTATTAATCCAAACAAATAGGTTTTGTGTTCCTCTCCCATTAAAGTCTCAAATTCTTGTACGAAATCTAAAAAAAACTAAGAACATTTCCAAAAAAATCCTATATTAATTCCGATTTCCTACAGGAAAAATCGCCAAATCCCCCAAATTTGAATAAAAGATCCCATTCTCCAACAGAGATATAATGAA